CATGGCCACGCTGGGTGAATTCGACAGAGCCGATATTCCGCGGAGGTAAAAGTATGCAACTCGCTTGCGCTCCTTGTTGTACAGGAAGAAGTGGTGACTCCAAATCGCACCGTCATCAGCGAATGGGTCATCTGACGGCTCCCATGCATAGTATTCACAGCTCGACATGTCCATCTCCGTATCGAGCAGGTGCCAACTTCGCGGACTCCATATCGGCGACCCAAGTGGTGTGACTGCGCCCGCTGGTAGTCCGGCGGAGTACACCTGTGGGCGCAGATAGTACATTGTAGTGTCGATCTTGTGCATGAAGCTGTGGATGGTCTCGCGACGGAACTCATCAGGGTTCAGCGTGTTCGCGAAGTCGTAATCGATGTGTGTGGCATTGAGCGTCGCGATGAGGTATGCGAAGGTGTGGCGGTTTGCTGCTTCGCTGAAGGATCCGAACGGCGTGTCTCGGGAGATGTCGAGTTGGTCTGCGAACTGAGCTGCCGACTGCTCGGACAGCCCCGCAACCGCTGATAGCAAGTCCTTGTGCCGCTCCTCGAGCGTCCTCTCGATGCGCTTGTACAACTTCTTGTCGCTTCCCGCTGCTTTAATCGTCCAGAGATCGCATCCGCCGATGATTGCTGTGTCTTGCGTATCGAAGTTGAGGGCGAGGTTGACCTCGTGGAGGGCGCACAAATCGAGGTACTACGGTCCCACCGGGTCAGCTATGTCGTCACTCTGGCCTTATCGCATCGAGCACTTACCTTCATTGCGCTTGATGTGCACTCGTTTGGGCTGAGTGCCTATTATGGAATATATCGCGTATGATCCGAAATCTTCGAGATACGGTGTGATTCAGCGCGCCGTGGCTGCTGGGCGTGGGTGTGGCTGTGGTCGGAGGGGGTAGCCTGCGCGAACCGATACAACAAGTAAACACGACTCTAGGCTGGCTGCGGAGAGGAGAGGGTACTGTCGTTCGGCCAGACGATCGTCTAGCAGGCAGTGGACATATGTATGGCTTGGGCGTGGTAGTGGTGTGAGATGTCGGTGTCGCTGTAACGACGTGGTCGCGATTGCGGAGAAGGTCAGCTTGGCGGTGTCGCCGAGCTAACAGCGGCATGTGTGTCGGGTCGTCCTTCCTGATTGGTCGATGCGCAACCTGCCTCTCAACCAACAACAGCTGCCGATAAGAGTGGATGGGTAGGCGACTGGTGTTGAGTGTTGATGTTAGTTGTATGCGGCCATGCCGAGTGTGTCTGGTACGCGGGGCATGTCATCTGATGGTCGAGCACGTGAAGGATAGAAGATGCCTGGAGATGAATCCACGTGAATTCGGCAACGTATCATTTGATGAATGCATGTCAAGGTTCTGGGTGAAGGACCAAACGCTGATCCGAACCAATTGCTGTCACGAAGTGCAGGTGCGCAGTGTCTCAGCGGTGTGGAGACCTGTAGCTAGATGAATAAGGTAAGTGTACCAGCATAGGGAAAAAGAAAAAAGGGAGAGAGAGTTGTCAAGTCTATCAGGGTGAAGTCTCGATATCATGATGTGTGATCACGTTCGAGCCCTTGAACCGCTTGTGTCAAACCTAGCTGTGTCGAGCAAGCCCGCCAGTCCGAGGTGTATGAATTGTAGTAGATAGAGTACAGCTACCGCCATCCGCTCTACAAGGCAGGATGGCAGGTAGTGCGTTCTCCAGATGATCCAACCCCTGCGCCGTGTGATATCGTTTCGCTCTTGACGCCTGCCCTCGGAAAGATGTTTAGCATGAGCCGTGTTGTGACAGTCGACTGTGTGCCGTAGCCCCACCCCAAACTCCAATAACGCCGTACAATGTGTGTGTTCGTATGCGGATGTCGGATCGGGTCTACAAGATGCCGCTCTCTCGAAGTCGGCCTTTGAATTCATCCGCGTTCTGGAAGCCATCAGGCGCGGTCAGTGGGGACTCTTGGGACGGCGATGACGGAGAGCCAGAAGGTGAGGTGCGACAGTGCGTTCCGTACACGTTTTACATAATCTTGGTAACGATATCGTCCTCAGCCTGACGACAGGGCGTGTCAGCCAGCTGGCGCTATGGGTGCGTGCGGCGAAACAGACCCGAAAGTCATCACACCTCACTCACCTCCATATCTTCGAGGCTGTCTTGCTGTCCTATACACCGGAGCACGTTCTTTTTGCTGCTCTCTTGCATCTCACCGGCCAGCAGTAGCTCGTCCAGGATGAAGTAGGCCTTTTGGAAGTTGAAGATGATGTCGAGCTCGCAGACGTTGCCGTAGTACTTGTCCATCTGCTCGACGTAGCGGTGGACGATTTCGAGCGTGATCAGCTCATTGTCGGTCGAGTCGCAGCCGGCGATGAAGAAGAGCGAGGCATATCGGCGATATACGATCTTGGTGTCTGGAGAAAGTGTGAGCTAGCGAAGCTCTTACCCCTGCCGGACCCACTGACCTTTGTATTCTAGGAAGTTGCACATGCGGGTGCGGCGGGCGAGGACGAGCTGCGAGACGTCTTTGACAATCTTGGCCTTGTCTTTGGGGGCGAGCGTGGTGAACCACTTGGCTAGGCGCTGCGAGCTTCAGCAAGGGACTAAGGATTTAGGGTGAGGGACCAACCACTTTGCCCTGCCGGGACAGCAGAATGAGGTACCTGAGCTGTTAGCACTATAATCCGTTTTGGGCAGTATGTGGAAGTGCATCTTACTTGATCGTCATGGTGTCGTGTGAGGAGAAGATGGCAGTCGCTTGTGTCTGGCGCAATGGGGAAAGATGTTAGGTTCGGCGATCGGCGGTCACAGGCCAGCCCCGCGACTTTGAGACGTCAATGCGCCCTCATATCCCCGCTATCACCATCTGGTTTGGACAATAGACACTTGCGCGCAAGCAGTTCTGCTCTTAGCCCAGCCCTACTAATCATTGCCTAAAGCCTTGCGATTCAAATTATCTGCGCTACTGCACATCCGACGCGACTGCTATCCTAAGACGACCCACCCGCTGACAAACGTTCACCCTCCACACGGCAACTCGAATACCCCCGAGGAGTCACCACCACACGATATAGGAGGCTCTTTCGTCAGAACTGTTCTATCTCGCGTGATAGTTGCGCGATACGACTGATCGCCATCATGAAGCTCGTACTATCTACCTCGTATGTCTCTCCATCTCTCCAAATGCCTTACCTAACAACCCAGAAATACCATGTCCGGTGGTCCTTCCGTGATAAGACGACCCTTCTTCGAGAAATCAAACACTGAACTCACCTCCTCCCTGCGCGCAAACTTCGCTGCCCACCAACCCTCTCCAACGCCCTCAAAACCCGACTACACAACATGGACCACCAAGACCGACTCCGCCCTATACGTACCCACGCACACGCCCTCACCCCTTACCGAACCGCGAGAATCCTACGATATCACAGTCAAACTGTTCTACCTTCCCAACATACCGACCGACAGACGCTGCGCACAAACACGAGAAGCGATAGAACTAGTGCTGAAAGAGCTGGGCACATCCTCGATAGACCTCCTCATCGTCAGCTTCCCAGGCGTATCCTTCGACGCCGACGATGAAGATTCCGATCTCGACGACGATGACGAACCGCCCTCGCCCCCCTCCGCAACACAATCCACAACCGAAAACACCACGGGCGACTGCCCCGATGCCGGCGCACCACCAGAAGACATAGAAACCATGGTAACAACATGGCGATCGCTCGAGAAACTGCACGCAGAAGGCCTTGTATCGAAACTGGGCATCGCAGAATTTGGCGTCGCGCGCTTGACCAAGTTCCTCGAACAGACCAAGATAAAACCAAGTGTGAATCAGATCAACGTGAGGGACTGCTGTGTCGTACCCAAGCCGTTGATACTGTACGCAAAGCAGCAGCAAATCGAGCTGCTGACACATAACGATTGCACCAACATCTTGCCGCGCGGCACGCTACGGCAAATACTTGGTTCGGGAGAGAACGGGTCCGGTGTTTTGGCAGGAGAAGGAAATCAAGATGGGCTTAAGGGCGATGTAGAGCCGCAGTGGGTAGTCAAATACACGGCTGTTGTCAAAGATAGGGGTGTGGTGGAAAGTAAAGGGTATTTTGCTGTTGCGGAACTGAGGGATTCATGAGCACACGAAGACACAGAATCACTCAAATCGAATACAATATTCAGATGACTCTGACCATGACAATTTTAATATACATGTATCAGGCGTCCACAGACTACTCCATGCTCGCCTATAAGTTACCACCGAATAGCTGCTTTTTCTATCATGGAAACGGCGCAAGCGCTCCGCATACCTTGCAGTTCAGCAATTCTCCGCGACGTCCCAAGTTCGAGCATACCAGTGGCTTACCACACTTCTTACATTTCGTCAAGTCGACGCCACCGTTGTCGGCCTTGGGGTATGTCGTTGGTGGCTGTGCCGGTGCGCCCGACCCGGTCATGCCCCTCTTTTTGTTGAAGTCGTTCATTGTAGATTTGATGGGTGTTCGGTAGGTGTGGTAGATGTTTGCTTGTATGTGTGTTTGTATCTTTGATAGTCGGCGTTTGGTTGAGTTGTCTTCGTGTATGCTGATTTGGGTGGGTGGAGGAAGGGTTTGGAGGGTATTTGCTAAATAGAATATGACCATTCACCATGTAAACCCATACTGTGCACTTCACTGCTGGTACTCTACTACATTGTAGAATGTCAGCATGGATCTTCTAGAAGACTCTTGATTATTCGTCTTCAACTTATGGACGCTGCTCGTTCATGGAATCAAAGTAGCGCAAGGCTTCACCACATCATGGGCTTCTTCAACAGACTGAAATCGTTACGTACGCGACTGGTGAGTACCTTGACAGTGAAGTGAGTATGCAGCTATTCGCTGGACTTTCAGCTTCACGAAGCCTCCACTGTGAATACATGAGTCCATCACGAAACCCACATACATAAGCTTTTCGGTAGCCCGTCATGCCGGCCCCCATATCTCCAATCTTCCCCAACCAATATACCGTATACGTAGCACATCTTAACCTTCAATGTCCACCCAAACCAACCCTCCAAGCAAACAGTCCGCCAACACGGCACCAAACACCTCATACGAACACGAGCAGATCTCGGAATCCGAAACCGACCTTCTTATCCCTTATGTCTCCGACGACGACGACGAAGATGAAGAAGACTCCGACAACGAAGCCGGTTCCTTCGGCCACTGCTGGCACTGCGACGCCCCCCTACCTCTGCCCACCTCGGATGAAAACAACGTCAACTGTCTCGAATGTCAGTTTCCGAACTAATCGCGCGGCGGAAAAACGACTAATCTGGCTAGGTCATAAATGCGGAGGCTGGTTGGGTCCACCTTGAATGGAATGATGGAATGGATGAAGTGGGATGCGGCGTTGAATATTGAGCTTGTGTCACTTTAGAAGAGATGTTATGAAATGTATGCCGCGAGGATGCATTCTAGAACGAAAGTGTATCTATGCTGGTTGTAGATTCGCAATGATCAATGTTTCTCTTTATATTCATGTATCAATGCAAAGGCATTCTACGTATTGCTCCGTGAGCCAAGTCAGCCTAGTAGTGATATCCATTCCTCATGCAGTCTGTGCTATGACAGTGTCTCCATAGTTCTAGTTCAGCTAATTTAGCCTCCAAAAGTTGCTTCTTGAGATCCTTCTGGTTATCCTGGTGAAAGTGTGGAGAGTGCGTTCACTCCCGATACACGCATCCGCGCATGGTTCGTCAACATGTTCTCAAACGATACTAGCATTACGCATTCACTCTCCAGCATCGTCAGCTAACTGTGTTTGACCAACACACAGCGGACGCTCGGACTCTTTTTCGTGGTTCCAGTAGTCTATATCAACGTCTCACTCAGGGGTTCTCCTCAACCCAGCTCGCGCATGCTTGCAAGATCCAATAACTCCACCACCAAGATTAAAAGTCACGTCATGTCCATCCAAAGCCAATCCAAGCCGCTGGAGGTATACTTCTCCGTCTACGGCTCCGCCCATACAAATCCGGTTATACTTAGCATTTCTGGTACAACATGCCCAACCCCTACTCCTACCTCCACCCCTACTTCCACTTCAAGGTACACTCCTCCACCCTCACTCTCAGCCTCAACCTCACCCACACTACTAACACCACCCGCATCAACCAGCGGCGCCGCAACGCCCTCACCCTGCTCTTCACCATCCTCACCCTCACCCCCCGATATGCACAATCCCAGCATGTACGTCCAAACCGATAAAGGCATATACTACCGAGACGAAGGAGAGAAAGACAGGAACGGGAACGTGATGATTCTGAAAGACCCTTGTGAAGACTACGGGGGGGAAGTAGTCTGGGCGACCAAGGGGCCGTGGTTGTTGATTTGTCGGGATTGTGGGGAGATTCAGTAGGGATGAGCGGGAGGAGGAGAGAGATGAATGGGAAGAGCACGGTGGAAAGGACTTCAGAGGGATGAGGGATGAGGACATGTGTATAAGTAATGGTTGTATAGCGCGAGGAGATGGGTTGTATGTATGTAGTAGGGCATTTCGGTTTATTGACTTCGGCGGCACGAGGGCAATGGATGAGATATTCTCTCTTGAAGGTTGAGACTACCAACTCAAGGTATATGGATAGCGTTTGACTCGTTCTTCTGTCTACCCATATTTTGATAGCTCCCCGGAAGTCTTTCTAATGTCTCGTTGGGATACTGTCATGGATGCACAGTGTACAGTGCGTTAGTCCTTGGACTATGAGCATCACGAGTGGTGCTTCTACATGTTTACTTGAGCGTGTGCGATTTGGATATAAAGGCCGATGATACATGTCAGAAGAGACCATATTTTTTTCTTTGAAATATCAACGAGCGTTAAATCGTGGTGACTACCGAAGAATCTGCTAACAGACATGTCCCCATTTAACCGTTAAGCGAGCGTAGTATCATCTTTCTGCTTGACCAGCGCCATAAATGTTCCCGCACAGGCTTCCCTTGTGGTCGTCATGGTGGCGACGCATTCAATTGACAGGAATTGTTCAGCATTGACGAGCCTGAATACCGTCAATTCCAGCAGCCTCCAAGCGGTTAGGTTTGCAGTATAGCTGGTCGGCATCAATTGGAGTCCTGGCGGACACAGCAGATTCTGTGGAATAGATGTTAGTTTGCTTCAGTACAACTAGGTATTAACAAGGAACACCTACCCTTCACGTTAACCGGAATGGCGACTCCCATAGCGCTCAGGAAGGCAGCAATCGTGAGAACGTAGATTTTCATTTTCAGAGGAGTTGGATTGTGGTTGAGAAAGTCAAGAATGAGCTACGGGCTGTATCGACTACGTTGCTGTAGTGGGAGCTGATGACTTCAAATTGAGGGTGTCTTCTATACGATTTATATACTGTATTCTTCATAGATTATGCGACTATCGGTTGGAGGTAGTCAAGTCAACGGGGCTCACATATGCAGGTGCTAAAGCTGGTCAGCTGCGCTGTAACCCAACCCAGGCGCACGCAAACAGCAAGCTTATCGCAACCTACTTAGGAACGAGATGTTGATATTGAGGGACATGCAGCAGTTGCTTATCAGTACGGGAATGCATGCCCAGAACAGCTAGAAAGCTTATCTAGGCTAAATGCTTATCATGGTGATGGCGTGTTGATGCATTCTTCTGCTCCTGTGGTCTTCTATGTCCAGATTTTGTTGGTGGAAAAATGTGTCGCGAGGTATTTTGCCTGCAGTGAAGTACGAGGATCTAAGCGCCGGTCCTTCGACTCGTAAACACGCCCCACCGCATTGATCACCTCTCACTTTCCGTAGAGGCTACAGTAACACTTACACCTGCCTAACAGGGCTTCGGCCGAGGGTCACACTCCGAGTTCTCGAAATCTTGTTCGCCCGCTCACCTGAGCAAGGCCACAACACCACCTTCACACTATCTAATCGCATTCTTGTATGCTGCGCTCTCCAACACCAAATTCCTCAGTATCCTGATTCATCCCTTTTTCAATACAGCCTTATCTTTTACTGGAGGAGTTGTCTACAGTATGGAGAAGCACATCGTGTACGACCCAGTAGCTCAAAACGACGGCGCGGAGTTGTCCTGCGGCGACTCGGAGAACGAATCTCTAGTGAATGAGAATACACGACGTGGGCTTTTAGCCTCGTACGCGAAACGCAGTGTGGTCATTGCAGCCCTCTTATTCCTCTACACTATTTTCGTAGTGAGCTTGACGCTGAGAGTAGCACACGGAAACCGGCGAGTGGGGCGAAGATTTCTGGATACACCCGTGGACAATAAGTACATTGTGTATGACGCAAGAGTCATGGAGCAATGGGAGGATGAAGGGAGGAGTCTTCCTGTCGAGTACTTCGCTGAGCCTAGTGAGGAGATTGATCGTAACTGGCATGAGATTGTGGAACGTATGTACTCCAGATACTCCTCTTTGTGAACCGAGAATGTTAAGCTCCAGATTATCTAGATCAGAATATTGGTATCCAAGAAGAAGTAATGAAAGCAATGGGCCGTGAGCGGGAAGGAATCAAGCTCCCAGATGGCACATATTATGGCTCAATCATGGTCTTCCACCACTTGCATTGTCTTGTACGTTATCTGGATGTCGTCGATTGAGGCTCCATCACTACTGACGATATATAGAAAAACATTTATCATTCGTTACACCCCGAGTATTACGGACTGAACAACTTGACCGGAAAGGGTAAAGAAGATTGGGTGGATCATACAAGTAAGTCAGTCTCGATGATACTCGATAGTGGAAGCGTGGGACCAACCGGTGGTATGGTGCATCAAATCTTTTGAAACATTACTGACTACGAGACTATGCAGCACATTGCCTTCACATGCTGAAGGAGGCTATCATGTGTCAAGCAGATACGACGGTACTGACCATGATGTGGTCCAATCATAGCGTGCGCCCTATTGGAAACCTCACAGCCCCTCACGAATGTGTAAACTGGGATCGTTTAATGGAATGGGTGGAGCCCAACTCAAGAGACTTGACTGCCGAAGGGTGGCTGGTCCACCCAAAATTTGGTATGAGCATACCAATCTTTGATACGCATTCAGTGGAGAACGATGCAACTAACGTTTGTCGGACATGTTTTAGGTCCAGCAGTGGTCAATGGAGAACTGAGCAAACTCCCGATCAGTTCATGATTGCACTACCGTGCGTTACAAAGGGGTGCAGCTGATATGGCTTGGATATTTATGGCAAGAGTGGTGGCATATCTGCACAAGGTATCAGGTCGAATGGAAATGATGAAAATTGGGTTCGCAGTCTGTTAACTAAGCGTTGTTTGAGTGCGATGGAACTATTTGTGCTAAAGGTGTTTCACTATCGTGCTACTTTTGCAGCTTGAACTCGGATCGTATTACATCACACAAACAATTCTTTGTTCGCAGCGATATTGCGGACATGCTGGAATAGAGAAATGGAAGACCGATACTCGGTATTCACTCGCTATGACCTATGTTGCCTGTCATTCAGCGTTGTACCATAATCCTTCCGTACTAGATCGTCAATTGCATCAGGTCACCGACCCAAGGCTCCTTGTGCGGTCGAGGTAGGCTGAACTCAGCAATTATGTGAAAGCCCTGTTGCTCGTAGTACCTAAGAAAAGAACCTCTAATCAGTACCACATGGTGCGCTCCAGTGACAACAGGGAGGAGAGACTAACCGAATTAACTTCCTCTCGTTTCCTGCCCAGCCATCCAAGTATAGAACTTTCTTCCCCCGGCTACGGCCATAGTTCCGCACCTCGTGAAGAAGTGCAGCTCCAACCCCACGAAATAGATCCTTCGTACGGCTATCGCTAACCATGACTTCAACATACAAACTTTCTTCGAGTTTGAATTGTTCAGCTTGTGGGATTGTCGCTGCAGGAAGATAGGTAGGGAACCACTTTCCGCGGACGAACGCAAAGCCGACAGACACAAAACAGCGCCCATCGTCGGAGACGCGCGAGTGCATATCTTTCAGATCAGGAGCTGCAATTGCCTGCTCTACGAGTTCGGCTTCGACAATAAGAATGCGTAGGGCATCCGTTGTATCCGAGATTTGACTGTGCTTCGATTCTCGGACCTGCCGTTGCGTTTCTTCAACCCAACCTGGTCGTTGTGAAAAGGGAGTTGAGCCCCATTGCGCCAGGCTCCCGATCGATTCCAGATAGGGGAGAGATGCATCAAAAACTGAGATGATAAAGGAGTCGTCACCTTCGAGCCCCGCGTCTCGAATAGAGAACTGGTATAGGGTGGACATTCGTTAAGCCTTACTGATGGGCCCAGCAAATAGATCCGGTAATTGTTCGGGCACGCGTTGTTCTTCGAGCGTTGTTCTTCGAGTAGCTGAACGACGTGAAAAGAGAGGCGCAAAGTTAGGGCAAGATCCCTGAGTCAACCTTAAATGGTGACGATGGGAAGGAAGGGTCGGGTGACCTAGCCATGAATAGAACCAATTAGCTGAATATGCATGAATTCGCCTAAGCATGCTTGCCCACCCCCGCCGCTGGTGGGCAAGCTGTCTGTATGGTCAATCAGGAACCATATCAGCCGGTGGGAAGCTGTACGTCACAAGTAGAAGCGCCTAGCGGCTAACGGCATCAGCGCTTACGCAAAGACAGAGAAGAATGCAGAAAACCGATTACGTTCTCTTGCATGAGATCGCAAGACACGGCGTGCATGTTAACGAGACGCTAAAGCTGGCGGCAAGATCGCTTAGCTTAATTTAACAGCACTATGCAGCATCGACTCTATTCATCTATTAGGAATAGACAAGATTGTGCAGAACGGCCTGGAAAGCTTAGTCGAACAAACAACCCTTACGTTGGATGTGCATGAAGGATTGTTCTTCGTACACGTCGCAAGTGAGCTCGGCGCTTTGCTGCAATCCTCCATGCAGGCTGACGAGCTGTGGGAAGCAAGATAGACTTCTGACGAGAGCTGGACGAAACGTGGTGCTGACTGGCGCGCGAGTCCTGGTAACTTTGCTTTGCCCTTACATAGTTTTCATGTAAAGGATTCATTTCGGAAGCGTACAGTCAGATCCAACGACAAACCTATCGCGCTTATCACCAAACAGGTGGTGTGAGCTGAATTGTAGTTCACATCGAGTGTCGGATGGTTTCCTGCTAACTGTATAGGTGTGCAATCGACCAATAAGGTTCCTAACCGGGACAACATCAGAGGCGACCTTCGGTCACTCCGTTGCGGGGTTCCAGGTTAAAGGTTGTCACGAAGTGGCGCTGCGTCCGGCGTGCCTCAACCAGCTGTCATCTTCGTCTCATTGCAGTATTCCTTAGCGAAAGAGGGGCGCGCAATCGAGGGGTCGATAGCAGTAGCTAAAGCTGAGCTATCAGCTGCTGCGACAACTGGCCAGAGCTCTGATAGCCAAGTATAGAGCAGAGAGGCAGGATGCATGCTGATGCCGTCTAGATCTCCTAGTACTGCAGTGCAGGACGCTGATCGTTGAGATTCGGTCGCCATTACGGTGAGCGCTGGTCTGAAGATACGAAGCCATGCTTTTCTCTGCGTCTGGAACTGCCGGTACGTAGGCGATGGTTTCAGGTGTGGTAGTAGGGTGTGGGGTTGGAGCATCTGGTTCGTCTGGGGAAGATGGCGGCCTAGACTTTGGACCGGTCGAACAGCCGGAAGCGAGCGGGAGGCAACGAACGGCATTTAGATCACGTTGGACGACCATCTGAGTGGTTTACAGCACGATGAACTTTTTTCTGTTGGGAATGCGCGTGGTTGGCTGTAAGCATGTCGAGAGTGCGGCTCTGCGGACCCAGGCGGCGCTCCTTCGTTGTGTACACGTCGCTGGGTGAGGGATTGCATTCGTGTACAGCCAGCAAATTACCCGGCCCACCTAGCAGCGCAATTTCCCGCATGTACTCGTTGCCTTGGTTGCAGGGCTACGTCAAGCCAGCGAATGTGCCGATGGTGCTCGTGGCATTATGACGATTGCTCAGGATAAAAAAACAATGCTCGCTTCGCTCGGGTCTGAGGTTTGTCTGTGTGGCTGTCAGGCGGTGTTCAAGCAGGGGAGGCGCAGCTGTGGCTGCGGAATGTTTATTGGCTGTAGTGCCGGCAAATCTCAGCGCGCTTCCCCCTTTGGGCAAGAGGGCAAAAGACCGGCCGGAGATTGCCAATTTCGTCCTTCCTGAGGATCAAAACAGACGTGAAACGAGATTCGCAATTTTGGGTCTCCGTACGCCTCGCAACCTGGCCAGCGAAAACAATACTTCCAAGAGTCGGAGTAGCCTGGGAATTGTGGATGGTCGGATGGAGCAACCTCCGCTGTCCATCACATCGTACATCGACAGGCGCGACCTTGCCCCTGACTTCAGTTTGGTAGCCACGCGTCATAGAGGCCGTTGTTGACGATACGACGCTGCTTGACACTGACAAGTAACGACGCGTCGGCGGGCGCCAGCGGAAGGTTTGGTGCAGGGCGTTTGGCGCGTGCAAACCAATGGGCTGACCCGGAGACGTTCGCATGGTGTGGAGCAGCGCCGTGGCTGTGCAATGCCATAGCTCTTGAATAGTGATCGCGCTTGCGCAATTCCAAGAATAATACAAACGACTCTATGTATGTAGAGTTTTCGGGAAAGCTGAGGCGCGGTGCGTGGATGCTGGAGGAAGCTATCGGGTCCTGTACCCAAGAATGAGGGGATGACCTCTGTTGCACGATGCTTTTTCGTTCACCGCTCCACTTGACACGCGATCGGAAAAAAGAAAGACAGATCTAAATTCGACGGCGCAGCATGAGCGTTGCGATGGTCGTCACAAGGACAGCCGTTGTGTGCACTACGCTCCACAGATCGGGTTGTTAGTACCGAGCGGCGCGATACGTGGTAACCTTCGGACTGGTTTCAAGATTGAAATCGTCGTATCCTCGCAAACATGCTCACTATGGGGGCCTTGGCAGCAATGTTTTGCGTCTGCAAATGGCAGGAAGCCGTGGATCAAAAAAAATGAAGTCGAGTTTTTCAATTGCGGGACGTAGCTCGGCGCATTGCGCCGATGAGAGATGGACCCTGGAGATCATTGGAGATGATGCAGACAGCGGGAGACATGGGACTCCATGTTTATGACGTCGGAGGATATTGCGACTGATTCGCAAGTCTGCTTGGTTGGAAGGGAAGCGATGAGGAATGGAGAGGCCGAGCATGTCCAGATTACACAAACCCTAGAGCGTGCGAAGCAACATCGTTATCTCCACATGCAGGTGCGAGTCGGAACATTTTCTAGAAAGCGCAAGGAGTTGCAATGTCGATGCGTCGAATGGGGCAGCAATGCAGTATCGTGCATGCAGGGACATGTCGACTAGATTGCCCTGACCTGAAGGCAATGAAGCTCTGGGAGTTTTCAGATTCTTATCTGAAGAAGACCGGGACGAAGTGGCCATGTGGTACAAAGCCGAGTCCGCAAGCCCCGTTGTGGCGGCATGAGACACACAGGGTATTGGACTTGTTGCGCCCTCGAAGCCCAGGCCGGTCCCATCAGTAATGGAGGGAAAATTGTGTGTACAGCATGGGTGCAATAGGGTTGAGCAGATCTGTATCTGCTCCTTGTCTCCTCACACTTGGAAGTGCTTATAGTAGGTCCGCAGG